TGTCATCGTGGATACGTTAAAAATTTGAGTATTTATGGAATATGAGTACCGTCGTGGCAGCAACGCGGCACAAGTGGCACGCAATATCAACGAAGTTTACGGAGCGAATACTACAAACGATCGCACGACCTGTTATTGATTTGCCCGCTTCTGTTCTAGAAATTTCGACCTGCAAAATGAACTCCGTGGTCTTCCGAAAACTTTGGTGGCGATAATGACGAATTAAAGGTGATTGTGGAAGCTGATGATACTTAATCTACAGCTGAATTAGCAGCAATATTTGACGTTAGCATCAAAACAATATTGGCCCATTTGCGTTAAATTAGCAAGGTGAAAAAACTTAACAAATGAGTGCCCCACGAACTCAATGATCGCCAGCGTCGAAACGTGACTTGCGGATTAAATAAAATGGATTCTGTTTAACAATTGCAAGCGTTCAGCAAGTTGGTTAGGTCCTAGTGCAGTACCTAAACAATGTCTGAAACGTAAACTTACCCCTAGAAAAATTATGGTCACCGTATGGTGGTATAGCGCAGGTGTGATTCGTCACAGCTTCTTACCAAACGGGATGAGCATTACTGCAAATGTGTACTGTGAAGAATGAACACAATGATGGAGAGGCTCGAACATCTCTACCCAGCTCTGGTCAATCGCTCGTTTCCGCTGCTCCTGCACGACAACGCGCGACTTCATACTGCACAACAGATGGTCTCTAAGTTGCAAGAGCTGGGGTTGGAAGCTCTCGTCATCCATCGTACTCACCAGACCTTGCGCCTACAGACTTCTTTTTCCGGAATTTGAATAACTTTGTGACGGAAAAAAATTCAATACCCGAGAGGTAGTACAAAATGCCTTTGAAGAATTTGTTGCCTCCTGTCCAGCTGATTTCTTAAAGAAGAGCATCAAAAAACTGCCACAGCTTTGCACAACTGATCCATCGATTGCATGGGTGATTGCTTTGATTAATATAAATAAAAATATAGAAATAATATTACGTTAACTTATTTTATAAAAAAAAACTGCACTTTCATAGGTAGCTCCTAATATCAATAAAATAAAGTGTAGTCACAGTCAAAACTCATAACCGGTCAAAACCACTTTTGACTACAAAAATGAGGCAAAAATGGTTTTCGTCCTTAGTCAAAACTACTTTTGCCTGATTTTTTACAGTCTAAAGTGGTTTTGATCGGTTATGAATTTTGACTGTAACATATATACTGGCCTTAAGTTTTATTACTACAAACCAGGGGCTCGGAAACGTTATTAAAAATAACGTTTTTAAAACGTTTGGGACGGTTCCTTGTATAATATTTTGTTCGGAACAAAAACGAAATGAGAACGTAATGTGAAAACGTAAAAAACTGTTTATTCCGCCGGAAGCTAAATGAATGGCACGTGCCACGACACATTTAAACCTATAAGGTATTTTTGTTTCATATTGCAGGGCCAAAAAATGGGAAAAACGGTTTATTGAACAAGAACGATTTAAAATTTCGTTCTCTTCTCTTCATAATTATTTTTATTATGATTCCGTTCGAACATAAAGGAAACAAATAAGTTTTTAGGTATTTAAGGCGAAAACGTTTCGAAGAAAAATATACCGTTATCCGAGCCACAAACCCAAACATATGCTATACTCTTCGATAAGAATAAAAAGTGGGCAATATTGGAGTTTTGGCGGGAACTTTACCGGCGACGGATTGCTGCTCCTGTATTATTGTTTAAATAATAGTTTGAAGTGGAATTTGATATGTAAAATTGGTGCGATTTTATGTATTAACTGTCTACGCATGTATTAGTGGAAACGATGAAACAAGTGCTCTGATGGTGATGGATTCTCAAGATAAGCTGTTTGTTTGCATAGACGCCTTTAGATACCATCGCCAACCGTCAGCTGTCTGCTGGCTCAAGTTGCCGTCAAAATCTCCCAAGGGCTGCACAATGTGATGCCTCAACATATTGTGAAGCAGTGAAATTCTATATACTCAAAATAAAAAAGACAAGGCTGTATGGTATAGTTCCTTTGCCTGCTCTTTCGAGCCAATAATAAAAACAACAACAATATCTTGATAATTTTGACAGTTCACTGTAGGGATGGGGTCGTGTACAATCGTGAAAGAATCTATTGGATTATTGTTCACATAGCACTTGCAATCGATAGTTGCATGTTTATGCTGTATGGTTTTGGAATTTTGAACAATTTCTTATGTATTTAATTAAAAATAAATTATTAATACGATAAAAAATCCCTCCCACAATAACGATTTCGCCTCATGCATGTTTTTATTCCGTCAGTCAACTATTTAGGAGAATACGTGCGAGTCGAAATAATTTTTGTGAAAGGCCTTAGTGCGAAATAAAACAAGGAATTGTGGCTTAAACTTATTTATTATTAAAAGAATGGTGCACAACAACTTAAATCGATTGGAAGATAAGATGCAACCATCGATTGGAAGTTCTATGAGAAAAATATTCATTAACGTTTATATATATTATACCCATCCCCACAGTGAGCTGTCACAATTATCAAGTGAGTTGTCAAATTTGACAGACTGTAGGTATGTCGATTCACTTAAAAAAATCGATCTCCAGTTCGATTCAAATCGAACATACTAGAATCGATTTTTAATTAATCGTGAATCGTGAATTTGCAAACATGCCAAATAATACAGAATAGAATATAATAGAATAATTTTTTATTCAATATAGATCACATATGTAATTCTTATTGAAAGTCATTTTTTACTTTACCACTGGTTCGAAAAAAAACCTCTGTCCTGGGAAGAACCAACAAGAAACCCAGCGGGAGTTTTTTTTAAAGCATAATTTACATTAATCAACCATTAACACACAAACTATATAAGTACAAAATTTATTTTAGAAACAGCTTGGAAGCGACACACCTCATTCCCAGGGGTTATTATCAACCAAGTATTCATTTATACTATAATAACCCTTTTATACAGTTTCAACTTATTAAACTTGGTAATAGAGAGAGCCTGTACATTTTCCGGGACCTTATTGTAATAGCGTATACATTGCCCCAAGAATGAATTACTAACTCTGTGGAGTCGAGAAACTGGTATCATTGGCTTGTGTTTGTTCCTGTGAACCTTTGTTTTTGTGAATATACATTAAATTTTCATAAATATACTGAGAGGCCAAAGTTAATATATTTATTTCTGTAAATTTATCTCTAAGAGACTCTCTCAATTTTAGGTTGTTAATAGCTCTAATGGCCCTCTTCTGTAAAACAAAAATAGTTTCTGAATCAGCCGCATTTCCCCATAGCAAAATCTCATATGACATTATGCTTTAGAAATAACTGAAATAAACTAATCTAGTTGTGCGTGACACTAGTGAGACCTCTAATCTTTTTTACAGCATAGGCTGCAGAACTTAGTTTGCTTGCTAGTTTGGACATATGGGGGCCCCACTATGACTATCCCCTACAAGGTGAGGTAAGTCAATAATATACACCAAAAACAGGAATGGGCCGAGAATTGAGCCCTGAGGAACACCCATTAGTACAGGTGACCCGGAAGAACTTTTACCATTGATAATAACCTTCTGTTTTCTATTACTTAAATATGAAATAATAAGTTTAAGCGCTGTGTTCTTGACACCATAGTACTGTAGCTTCCTGATTAATGTCTCATGGGAACGCAGTCGAATGCCTTGGAATAACAAAAATTTTACTAAATGTTGGTAGTACAGAAATTGGTCTAAAATTGGCGGGGTCTAATGTACTACCAGATTTAAATAAAGGTATGACTTTACTATATTTCATTAAATCAGAAAACACACCAGATTCGACGCTTGTATTAAATATAGTGGCTTGATAAGGTACTATTATATCTATTATAGATAAAATAACTTTAACGGAAATCACCTATAAGTCTGCCGATTTCTTAACATCAATAGTTTTAAAATATTTAACGATATCTTTTGGCAGTACTCTATGGAATTTAAAAGTATTTGAAATACATATGTATAAGAATAACAATACTTTGACAAAAGTGCAAACTGCAGCGTACATTCCTCGACAAATCAAATTGAAATGAATGCTACACGAACACAATACTGTTTATTTCGTTACTATAAACTTCAACATAACTATAATATTGCCTCACAGTATATTCTTGATAAATAAACTAAATTCACAGCACAGATTAAGTTAGACGCAGGATTCTACGAGTTAGATTAGAAATGACAATAACAAGTGACATCGTTTTTATTAGTAAGTAACGTATGGGTCGGCACAGCCGGGATAGGCCCGCCCTCATAGAATACCAGCTTAAAATAGCAGCTTAAAGCTGCTGTGTTTTGTATGGTGAGTGTAAAGTACCGGAGAACCTTTTTACTGGAAACGAGGCATTTGATTTTAGTAATCAGGGGTAACAACGCATCTCGATTTTGATTCTTAATCGATGATAAATGAAGATCTCTATAAGCCACAGCATCCACTTACCACCAGGTGGACTGTGTGCACATTTGTCACCTCTATTCTATAAAAAAAGAACGTAAATAACGACCTCTTTTGATGCGTTCATAAATATTTGTTCCATTCAAATTATCATAAGTACGACCGGTTGTTTTTGCATCCGACAACAGTAAAAAAATTAAAAATCTAAGATACCGCAGCCAGTTTAGAATCTTTATCGCTAGATCTTGAATCAATCCGATTCGAGAGGTTTTTTGAGGAATCGATGTAGTGTTCCAATTCGATCTAAGAAACGATTATATTACTCGAAATAATCGATTTTTTGATTAATAGACTTTAGATCGAAATGCCTAATTCAAACAAGGCGACGTGTCATGTTGTGAATGAAATGTCATAGTGACATCTCCATCTCAGTCTCACTAATGAATTAGTTCTTATCCATTTTTTGGGAAAATCAGAAATTGTTATAAAATGTTATTAGTTACTTCTGTATAGTAAACAACATTTAATTATTATATTCATTGGAATTTTTAAGGGCTATTTTTAATGAAACACAATGACTACCTTACGTGAACGCCAACTAAGTAAGTATCAGTAGTGAGTGAAGATTAATCTGTTTTGATTTTAAATAATTACTATTTTTTGTGCATAGATGCCCTCAAGCAAATGCTTAACTTAAATCAACCATTAACAAAGGCTGTCGCTACTGAACCTACATGGAAAGTTCTAATTTATGACAGAGTTGGACAAGATATTATTTCCCCTCTTATATCTGTAAAAGAACTCAGAGAATTAGGAGTCACCTTGCATGTGTAAGTACCAAATATATTTTCGTCATTTTAACATAATGTTTACATGGATTATCTCGAAGACCCTTATGTTTTTAATTTAATGCTAGATCTAAACAATGAAAGTCATAGTAAAGTTAGGTGAAATTTTATTACAAACTTCGTATACAAACTTAATAATCTATTGTTATTATTATATACTCTTAATCTTATTAACTGGTTTTTATAGCCTAACAGCTAAACTTATATTTAGTTTTGAGCATGAGCTAATGTTATCTTTTGATTGCTAATCCACATAAACATAAGTCTTACTGGCTATAAAGTAGAAGAAAATAAACATTTAAACAATAATTAAAAAACTACATTATAAAAGACAAAAATGTAAAATGATTACTAGAGACCACTCTTGAACTTTTCTTACATTTGTATTACTTTATTTTTGATACTGATGATTTTTTTGATTGATTTGATGATTTTTAATACTCCTATTATTACAGACAACTGCATTCAGACAGAGATCCTATACCTGAAGTACCTGCAGTATACTTTTGTTCACCAACAGAAGAAAATCTTGGTCGAATTTGTCAAGATTTAGATAATGGTGTTTATGACCAATACCATCTAAACTTCATATCACCTATTACAAGGCAAAAACTTGAAGATCTTGCCGCATCAGCAATTCAATCCAATGCTGCTCTAAGCATTCATAAAGTTTTTGATCAGTATTTGAATTTTATATGTTTAGAAGATGACTTATTTATTATGAAGCACCAAAAATCTGACAATTTGTCTTATTATGGTAAGATATTTCATAGTAAAAAAATCAATAAAATGTTTGCTTTACAGGTTAAGCTATATGCCGCAAACGGAAATTGCAGATGTGTTGCTGGCATTTAAAAAAGAGTAGGCTCTTTTCTAGAACATCCCCAAGTTGTATCGGTCTGGAAAAACCTCTGGTGGTAGTCGATTCCAAAGTTGTGCAAGGAAAATAACTTGTACTGGTATCGTGAGTTTTGTCACAATGTGCGATGGTGAAATTGAGCAACTGGGATCAGTCCAAACAATTTCTCAGAGCACTCCCCGTGGTAGATGTGATAAAATACACAAAGGCATGCAATATCTCTTTGCAGTGCCAGTGAGTCAAGCCAATCGGAAAGAACTTGGTTGTCGACGATTTGAACTGCTCTGCACTGGATGCGGTCATGTGGACTTTCAAACAATTTAGGCTAAGAATGGATAATGACCAAAATAAGGAGATTAGGATGGATGTATTTTTATATAAATGTCAGATGTAGTGGGACTCACTCAAGTTACCATTTCTATAAAAACATATCTCATATACTCTCTGCAACCCAAATGACAGCTTCGTGGCGCAGTGGCTTAGCAATCAGTTGTTGCGCTGGGGGCCGCGGGTTCGAATCTCGCAAGGAACAAGTATTTGTATGGCCTACAAATAATTGTTCCGGGTCTGGATGTTTGTCCTTGTGCAATTTATGTTTGTAAACTGCCTCCACGACACAGGAGAAAATCCTAGTGTGGGGGTAACGTTATTTAAAAAAAAAAAACGCGCCCTGAATCAAAATTGATGATTAGCTGTTGCCATTAATTAAAACTAATAAATATTTACTATACCTATTACAATTTATTTGTTGTTTGTTTCCAGCAATCAATAAAGGAGACACTAAAGATACAGAGATGGAAGCAATTATGGATGATATTGTAGAAAGCTTATTCTCAGTATTTGTTACTCTGGGTATATTTTTTTATATTAATGCATACATTTTACAATACAATTTAAATACAATTGTCAACTTGAATATACTATATTACAATTCTTTTATTTCCTTTAAGGCAATGTTCCAATTATACGATGCAGCAAAGGTAATGCAGCAGAAATGGTGGCAAATAAATTAGATAAAAAGCTGAGAGAGAATTTGTGGGATGCTAGAAACAACTTATTCCATGGTAACACAGGTCAAAGTGGCTCATTTAGTTTTACAAGACCTATGCTTATTTTATTAGACAGAAATATAGATATGGCAACACCTTTACATCATACTTGGACATACCAGGCTTTAGCTCATGATGTGCTAGATTTATCATTGAACAGGTAAGATAATTATTTTGAATGATAAAATCAAATAAATTAACCTCTTTATATTTATTGTATCTTGTACCTTTTTGTAACTTTCTGTAGAGCAGTGGTACCAGAAAACACAGGGACTGTAGTACCAGGACAAAAGTCGAAAACGCGTATATGTGATCTCGATTCCAAAGATCCATTGTGGTCTGAGCATAAGGGCAGTCCATTTCCAACTGTAGCTGAAGCCATACAGGAAGATCTAGATAAATATAGGTATGTATATCAAAACTCATTTTATGAAACTTTGTTCCTTATAGTTGCCCTTATGTCTACACATTGATTCTTCAACTTGTAAACTTTTGTAACTATATCCATACTACCAGTACTTAGCAGTTTTTGAAAAAGTAATTTATAGGTAGTTATGTTGTTTGTCTTTAAACATATCATTTCATAATATTCAGTAGTTTCTATAAAGGTAGAAGTACCACTGACGCAGGCATTACACTTCTCTGTTAAACAGTATGTCATAGGTATTTTTGTGACTAATCAAAGGCATTCAATTGTGTAAATCCTTATTCACTATTAAACAAATTTAAGAGCTATGGTATTTCAATAAACTCAGCAAACCTAATAAAATCATAACTGTCCAACCAGTTGCAATAAGTTGTTATAAATGAGTCTTCTAAAGCATCCTAAATTTTAAGTGTTCCAAGGATTGATGTTGGGAATATTGCTAGATTTTTATATTAAATGATATTTCTTTTTACGCTTAAACTTATATGAAACAGTATTGTTTGCAGATAATACCTCCATAGTGTTTAAAATTGGGAAAGGTAAAAACTTATATGACAATGTAAATAATGCTTCTCAAGTATTACACCGCTTTATAACAAACAAGTTTTTTTGAATGCTATCAAAGTTACATATATTACATTTAACAATTAAATAAATGAATTAGTAGATTTTACAGTTATTCTTGGTATCACTATGCTGCGTAGTGGCGGCTCAGATTATCCACTACCCCATATCTTCCCGTGGGTGTTGTAAAAGGCGACAAAGGGAAACAGGCAGGAGATGGACAGCAGCATCTTCCTGATAACATCAAAATTACAATAAAAAAACTGCGGTTGCCAACCCGCTCGCCAAGCGTGGGAACTATGGCAAATACCCCCCCTATGATGAAAGTAACAAAGAGACGGCCCCCAGTCCCCTGCGGCTCCGCTATTCCTGGCTACGGTGGTGACCATGGTAACGGCGGGGCAGGGGGTGCTAAGAATCTCCGGTGGAGGTTCGGTTGCCACCTAAGACGACTTGATTTGGCAACATACAACGCACGCACCCTGAGGACTGACAAGAAGATCGTGGAGCTGGATGAAGAGATAGACAAGTTACGCTGGCATATTATAGGATTATCCGAGGTCCGAAGAGAGGGGGAGGACATGGTAATCCTCGAATCCGGCAACTTGCTCTATCACCGGGAGGGCGATCATCTGTCCCAAGGAGGTGTTTGATTTATCGTCCACAAGTCTCTCGTTAACAACGTTGTAAAGGTTGGGAATGTGTCGACGAGGGTTGCGTACCTGATACTCAGAATCACCCAACGGTATTCGCTGAAGGTCATACAGGTTTACGCACCAACCTCGGCAGCTCGGCACACCCCGATGAGGAGGTGGAGGAAATGTATGAGGATATCTCTAGAGCCATGCATTCCTCCAAAACCCACTATACGGTGTTAATGCGAGACTTCAATGCAAAACTAGGCACAAGAGAGAACGGTGAGCTGAATGTAGGGAAATTTAGAATAGGGAAACGGAATCCAAGAGGCCAGCAGCTGGCTGACTTCATGGAGAAAGAGGGACTCTTTATGATGAACTCTTTCTTCCAGAAGCGGCTCCACAGGAAGTGGACCTGGTCGAGCCCCGACGGTTCGACAAAAAATGAGATTGACTTCATTATGACGACCAGACGACAACTGTTCAGTGATGTCTCCGTGATCGCGAGGGTGGAAACTGGTAGCGATCACCGAATGGTTAGAGGCACACTGAACCTAAACGTTAAGTTGGAGAGGTCTCGTCTGATGAAGTCAACGCTCCGTCCTCCTCGTGCTCTGTTCCGGAGTTCCGAAACCTTTCAGCTCGAGTTACAAAACCGTTTTCAGTGCCTAGAAGACTGCAATGAAGTTGACGATATGAATGACAATTTCGTGGAAACTGTTCATGCGGTCGGAGCTAAGTTCTGCAAGACCCGCCGCAGAAGAACACAAAAACTCTCCGATCACACTCTTAATCTCGTGCCTGTTAGACGAAAGATGAAGCTACATTCTTCAACAGATTTGACAGCATACAGGCAACTGAACAGAAAGATCCCCAAATGCATGCGGCGCGACTTACGCAACTTCAATACAGCTTGTATTGAAGAAGCGATCGAGCGGAACCAAGGCTCCAAAGTGTTCGCCAGAAAGAGCCAACTGTCAAAGCTGAAGACCGAGTGTGGCGGCATCGTTTCCGGGACACCTGAGATTTTGAGTGAGATTGAGTAGTTCTATGGACAGCTGTACACGTCATCGTTGGAGCCACACGCAAGTGTGAGTAACGATCGAAGAGCGAGTCTTATCCGACACTATTCCGAAGATATCTCGGACGTCAGTCTGAGCGAGATTAGAATGGCTCTCCAGCACCTTAAAAATGGAAAATCCCCGGGCGGAGATGGAAATTACAGCGGAGCTTTTGAAAGCGGGTGGAAAACCGGTACTTGAAGTCAATATTCTTTAGAAACATATATATAAAGTCTTTAATTCCGTCCTCCATGGTGGCACTACTTCGAAGGCGTGGAGCAGAAGTGCGGTGGTTTTGTTCTTCAAGAAAGGCGACAACGCTCTCTTGAAGAACTACAGACCGATTTCCCTTCTGAGCCGCGTCTACGTGCTGTTTTCGAGAGTCATTACGAATCGTCTCGCACGCAGACTTGACGACTTCCAGCTTTCCAAACAAGCCGGTTTCCGAAAAGGCTTTAGTACCATAGACCACATACATACCCTGAGGCAGATTGTACAGAAGACAGAGGAGTATAATTTACCACTTTGCCTTGCTTATGTGGACTATGAGAAAGCCTTTGATTCCGTCGAAATTTGGGCGGTGCTGCAATCCCTTCAGCGGTGCCAAGTTGACTGTCGGTATATCGAAGTGCTGAAGTGTTTGTACAGTAGGGCTACGATGGCTATCCGAGTACAGAATCAGAGTACGAAACCTATCCAACTGCAGAGAGGTGTAAGACAGGGTGACGTTATATCCCCGAAACTCTTCACCGCTGCATTGGAAGATGTTTTCAAGCTGCTGGACTGGAAAGGATGCGGTATTAACATCAATGGCGAGTACATCACTCACCATCGATTTGCCGACGATATAGTCCTTATGGCAGAATCGCTGGAGGACCTAAGCACTATGCTCAATAACCTCAATAGTGTCTCCCAACAGATAGGTCTTAAGATGAACATGGACAAAACAAAAATCATGTTTAACGTCCATGACACACCTATGCCGGTAGTTTGTTGGGTGCACTAAGCTCGAAGTTGTTGACGAGTATGTTTACCTGGGACAAATAGTCCGACTAGGTAAGTCCAACTTCGACCGAGAGGTCAATCGACGGATCCAAATTGGCTGGGCAACGTTCGGGAAACTACGACACATCTTTTCGTTAGACATACCCCAAAACCTTAAAACGAAATTGTACAACCAGTGTGTGTTGCCAGTGATGACTTACGGATCTGAGACCTGGTCCTTCACTGCTGCATAGCTCGAAGAACTGACAACCGATGGGGAAGAAAGGTTCTCGAGTGGCAGCTTCGTACCGGTAGGTGAAGTGTAGGGCGACCCCCCACGAGATGGAGTGACGACCTGGTAAGACATGCAGGAAGTTGATGGATGCAGTTGGCTCAGGACCATGCTTTGTGGCATTCTTTGGGGGAGGCCTATGTTCAGTAGTGGACTTATGAAAGGCTGTAATGATGATTGGTATCACTATAACTCTCATCTACAATGGAAATTTCTCATATTGAACCGTGGTTCTCTTGAAACTATTACTGATAACTTAATAACTAAATACTGATTGAAACTTAGTTTCGCTGTGTATGCAGTTAAATAATGTTGTTAACTGATATAGATACACCAAGGTTGGTTTATTTTAGCTATTTTCATAGTATGATGTCCTATAGATTATTGTTGTAGAGATTGGCAGCTGTTGTTGGGAATATATTATAGTACAAAAATATCAACCAAACCAAGGGAGTCACTCAGAGATATTTTAATACATTTGATAAAATGATTGATTGACTTTAAAACGCGCAATAAATCTAAACTTACGGGCACGTACGTAAACGTACGGGCTTCATAATATAACTGCTCATTTTTGGGTACATATATACCTAGTCTAGTTATAAACAAGATTTGACTGTAATATTACTTATTTGCCTTTGCAGAGGAGATTTGACTGTAGTATAACTTAAGGCACATTTAAAATGCATTTTTATGAAGAAAGGGTATTATGAATTAGATAATTATATAAGTCATCAGACCAACGTTTTCTTTGTCTTCCTCGTTTTCTCTTTGTTCGGTATCTAGGGGTCCATTCTGTTACATTTTTTGTCCATTTATTTATTTTATTTCAATAAAATATATACAAAATAAATTATATAATAAACCTCTTAAGATGTTTCATTCTTTTTAAGTATGTAAAATTTATCCATGTTGGCTATGACCTTATTATTTATTCGCTCAATCTTACTTGCAAAATACTTTGCAGGAGCTCAGAAGCAGAAGTTAAAAAATTAAAAAGTTCTATGGGGCTAGACGCTGATAGCGACCTGGCGCTCAGCCTAGTAAGTGACAACACCCAACGACTGACAAGTGCAGTTAATTCCTTGCCACAGTTAATGGAAAAGAAGCGGCTTATTGATATGCACACAACTATAGCTACTGGTATGTTCAACATCTTCATATACTTCTTCATTATCTACCTGTAAAAGTCCACTGCTAGATGGGTCTTTCCTGTTGTATTAATCGTCACACTTGGCAGGCACATTATTGGTCGGCAGCAGAAGACATCTGCCACCTTTGATACTACTACTCGAGCCGGTCTGGGTACTGTAAATTGATTGAGATGGTATACCATGGTGGATATGGTATACCACCATCTATCAAAAGCCACAATATCTCAGCATTTCCCATAGTTGCCTCTTATGAAAGCAAACTCTTTAAAAATAAAGCAATAAATAATATTATAAACCTAAGATGTTATGCTGTGTACATCTTCGGGCCTTATTACAAAAAGTAGTTTATACCAGAATCTATTTCATAAAAGACCTGCGGAAATATGCGAACTAAAATGTAAAGTATACAATTTGAAGACAAAATGAAAAATTACAAAAAATAAAACCTGTAGCGCCGCAGCTTAGAGACTTCTATAGTTAGAAAGATTGTTATTTAACCTTATTACCATATTATTTGTTGTTTTATCTATACAAATAAATAAAATTGAAGTGTCTGTTGGTAATGTCAAAATTACAGATTTTTACTAAATGCATATGAAAGTAAATACGGTACTTTTACCAAAAATACAATTTTTAAATTTTTGTCTGTCTGTCTGTTTGTTCCGGCTAATCTCCGAAACGCCTGGACCGATTTTGACGGGACTTTCACTAGCAGATAGCTGATTTCATAAGGAGTAACTTAGGCTACTTTTATTTTAGAAAAATAATTAGGGGTCCGCGCAAAAACATAAAAACCCTAACACGCGAGCGAAATCGCGGGGAACAGCTTGTTTAAGAATAAAAGTTAATATCTTACCTTTAAAAATAATGTTAAATTTAAAAAAATGTGGTTTATAGAAGAGACTATAATCCCTTCCCTAAACAAGGGCATTTTCAAAATAGATTTTCTCTTCAACCATTACATAATAATACAGTTACGTATACACTAAGTAAAAATATTTTAGATTCTTATAAGACCAAATTGTTACAAAATTAATAATCGTGTTTGTAAAAAAAATAGGGTTGCTAATCGACCTGCTAGAGGCGGGACATCTTGTTTCCAAAGACTAGGCTGATATATTGAAATTAATTTTAACAAATAATATTTGATGATAAAGCAAGTAATAGCTGTTACAACATCTCCTCGTACACTGTAGGCGTCGTATGTTAAAGATAAACTAATGCTGTAGCACTCGCTTCGGAAAATCGTCATTTCTTAAAATAAATTGACACGACGTAATGACGGCTTCATGTCGCAGTGGCTTGGCATTGAGTTGCGGCTCTGGGGGTCGCGGGTGCGCATCCCGCATCTAACAAGTATTTGTATGGCCAACAAATAATAGTTCTGGGTCTGTGTGTATGTATTTAAACTGTTTCCATGATACAGGATAAAATACAGGAAAAAAGCAAAACAAAAATAATTAACTCAAAAAGAAATTCATATACCCATTTGGTTTTGTAGCCATCCTTAACGCGATAAAATCTCGACGCTTGGATTCATTCTTTGAATTGGAAGAAAAGATAATGAGTAAAAGCAGCAGTGTGGAAAGCAAGGCTGTGATGGATTTAATAACTGATACCAGTGCTGGCACACCGGAGGACAAAATGCGCTTATTCATTATTTATTACCTGTGCACTGCTCAAATCCCTGATGACGAGTATAAAAAATTTGAATCTGCTTTACTGGCAGCAAATTGTGATATCCAACCAATGTCTTATATGAAACGATGGAAGTAAGTAAGAATATAATTTAAACTATTTCAATTTTTCAAAAAAAAAAAATGGACACTATATTTATTGATCTAATTGTATTTGCTGCAACTCTTTAGATGTTACCAACATGCATATAGATAGAGATAGCCCCAACACAAGTATTATCAATTACTTACTGTGGATGTCTCATTTATAATTCATGTAACTGTTTTGAGACAAATAAACATTTTCATTTTCTTCTTTTTTTTTTTTGCATATCGTATTCTGCAAAGTAAATGTTAAAAAAGTTCTAAAAGTAAACTATACTTAAATATTATGTGGTGGGGCCACGCCGCAGTGTATTTTAACCGTAGCAAGGGTGGTTCGGCTCGACCAGAGCACACAATGTGATGGTAAGTGGATGCTGTGTCCCACAGACACCTAGATCTATCCTATATATCATTGATATATTATATCTATCCTTGATCATGATTCAAAATATAGATGCGTTGTCACCACTGAGGACTAGGATAGAATGTCTTGTTGCCAGTAAAAAAGTCTCCAGTTCCCCACACTCAACATACAAAACACAGCAAAAAAAAAAAGTAAGCTACTTTTTACACTGGTAGTGTGTGAAAGTGTGATCCTCCCCGGTTAAGCAGACCCATTTGTGCTCCAACCATAACGTAGATGAATGGTGAATTTACTAATGTTAAAAAAATTGCGGTTTGTATAATGAAAGAAACTGTCCTGGCGTGAAATAGAGCCGCACCATTGCAATGGCAACTAACTTGTCGCTGTTTTGTACTAGGGCATTAATTTAAAAAACCATGGCTCATCCCAAAATGTACAAGTTATAACGTAAATTGTATGCAAAAGTTAAAACTAGAACAAACAGCTTAAAAAAGTCATTTAACAATTGCTATTTTATTTACTTTGTGTACTAAATTTAAAATATAAAATTAGTGTTTTATTTACAGAGGTTTTACAAAGATGTCCAGCCAGTATGAAGGTGGTGGCACGAAAACAGTATCAATGTTCTCAAAACTTGTTTCTCAGGGATCCTCCTTCGTAATGGAAGGTGTCAAGAATTTAGTAGTTAAGAAACATGTGAGTATTCAATGTTTTTAAATTTAAAGAAGTAAATTACGAGTTATTTTTTATCTGTACTTCGTGTAATCTTATCAATATATACTAAGTTTTTCTGTAGTTTCGCACATTTATAATTCAGGTAAGGCTGGCATGTTTGCCCAGGATTGGGACAAAATGTATCCTATATTTCTTCCCTTGACATTGACCACTTTTTTTTTTTATAGGAGAGGGGGCAAACGAGCATGCGGCTCACCTGATGGTAAGTGACTACCGCCGCCCATGAACAACCGCAACACCAGGGGAATTGCAGATGCGTTGCCGGCCTTTTAAAAAGGAGTAGGCTCTTTTCTTGAAGGTCCCTAAGTCGTATCGGTCCGGAAAAATCGCTGGTGGTAAACTATTCCACAAGGAAGTTGTGCGAGGAAGAAAACATCTTCTAAATCGCACAGTGGTGGACCGCCAATCATCCAGATGGTGTGGATGGTATCGGGAGTTCTGCCGCGATGTGCGTTCGTGAAATTTGGCGGCTGGGATTAATCCGAACAATTCCTCAGAGCACTCCCCATGGTAAATGCGAAAGAAAATGCTAAGAGATGCAACATATCTTCGCAGTGCCAATGAGTCGAGCCGATCGGAAAGGACTCGGTCGTCGACGATTCGAGCCGCTCTGCGCTGGATGCGGTCAAGTGGAAGAAGCTGGCACTGGGGAGCCCCAGCCCAGAGATGGGAACAGTATTCCATGTGAGGCCGAACCTGCGCCTTGTAAAGTTGCAGGCGTTGAGCCGGCATGAAATACTGTCCCGCTCTGCTGAGCACGCCAAGCTTTTTAGAGGCCAATTTGGCCTTTTCTTCCAAGTGACCACGAAACTGCACGCTACTCGATATGTCGACGCCAAGGATTCCGATACTGGCTGAGGCAACAAGGGGAGTACCTTGAAACTGAGGAGATACGACAAAGGGGTTCTTTTTAGCGGTAAACGCGCAAACTTGTGTCTTCTGAGGATTAAACTGGACTAGATTTAGTCGCCCCCAATCCGAGACTTTGTCCAGCAAAGACTCGACTTCAGACACAAGTTTGTTCCGGTACTCGGTGACGTTTTCCCGAGAAATATTGGCACGGCCGGTGTAGAGAGCATCACCAGTGCTGTCATCCGCATAGCAATGAATGCTACCGGCTTGCAACATATCATTGATATGCAGAAGAAACAGCGTTGGTGATAGCACGCAGCCTTGTGGAACACCAGCGTTAATAGGCTTGTAGTCGGAGCATGCACCGTCTACAACGACCTTGATGCTCCGATCTGCAAGAAAGCTGGTGATCCAATTGCATAATTTCTCGGGAAGCCCATAGGAAGAGAGCTTCGAAAGAAGCGCTTTGTGCCAAACCCGATCGAAGGCCTTCGCAATGTCCAAACTAACGGCCAATGCCTCCCCCTTGGACTCAACGGCCAATGCCTCCCCCTTGGACTCTACTGCCAACGCCCATCTATGAGTTAAGTAGACCAGAAGATCACCAGCTGATCGACCCCGACGAAAACCGTACTGGCGGTCACTAATCAGCTGGTGATCCTCAAGGTACCGCATGAGGTGGCAGTTTACAACGGATTCCATTATTTTGGAGAACAAGGGGGTAATGGCGATAGACCTGTAGTTGGACGGGTCTGAGCGGTCGCCTTTTTTAGGGATCGGGTGGACAAAAGCTGTCTTCCATGATTTCGGGACTACGCCTAGGGAGTAGGAGTACCGGAAAAGACGCGTTAGAACCGGTGCCAACTCCGGAGCACACGTCCTCAGCACAATTGGGGGGATTCCGTCAGGCCCACTCGACTTGTGGATGTCAAGGGAGAGGAGTGCTCTGCGAACCGAGCGCTGTGAGAACCGCACATCCGGCATGGAGCACTCACACCGCGGGATGGTCGGCGGTGTGTTCCCCCCGTCATCAACAGTCGAGTTGGACGCAAAAAGGGAGCCTAAAAGGTCGGCCTTCTCTTTTGCGTCGTGGGCCAGTGAGTCGTCCTCCCTGTGCAGAGATGGTAGTGATGGCTTACAGAAATTCCCTTGAACAGCCTTGGCGAGAGACCAGAATGCACGGGTTCCCGAAGGAAGGCGTACTAGTTTCTCGCCAATTCTGCCTATGTGCTCTGACTTTGCCTTGGCAATAACTCTTTTGAAGGACCTGGAGGCGAAGTTATACTTCTTTTTGAGCGTGCTGGTGTTTACATCCCGAGTCACCGAAGCCGCAGCCCAGGCTTGATAACACTCCTGCTTACTGCGTAATGCAGTCTTACAGGAGCGACCAAACCAAGGCTGAGATCTGCCTCCGATGGGTACCACAGATGATGGAATAAATAGTTCCATTCCCTGTAGCACCACATCAGTGACAGAGTCAGCAACAGCGCTGGGATCGTCCGGCGAGAAGCAAACCCGCCCCCATGGGTAGGAAGCAAAGAAAGACCGCATTCCGTCCCAATCCGCCGACCTGTAATGCCAAACACGGCGGCAACCTGCAGAACGCAACCGCGAGGGGAGCGTGAGTGGCACCACACTCCGGATCAGACAATGGTCCGAAGAGCCAAGAGGGGCATCGACGGAAACCTGATATCCGTCTGGATGAGAGGTCAGCAGAAGGTCCAACAGGGAAGGTGTATGATCCTCAACATCTGGAATCAGCGTAGGCGATGTAACCAGTTGTGTCAGACCATATGCCAAGGCAAAGTCATAAACAGATCTCCCCGCATGATCGGTTAAACGTGAACCGAGCCATTCGGCGTGGTGGGCGTTAAAATCGCCAAGGATCACGATCTCTGCGGATGGGACCTGTTGTAGCAAGGAATCTGTAGCCCTTTGGACGTGGTCGATGAGTCGATCTGTTTCGGCATTACCGCTATGGGGCCTATAGAGGCACTTGTAGACGCGCGGATGGTCGTGCATTGGACAGGTCCGAAGATTCAAGACTGTCGTGGCGTCGAAAACCGTCGAAAAGATGTCAGAAATGACGTATAAGCAAACTGCAGCCCGAGGCACAAAGGAGTGTTCCAATTTGTACCCCGGGTAGGAGAGATACAAAGTATCAGCGAGAGAAGACACCTGCGTTTCGGTCAGAAAGAGCAAGGCCTGAGGTAGTCTTTCATTTAATTCCACTATCATGTTGAGAGGGGAGGGAGGGGGGATTTAGCCTCCGGCCACCTGCACTCACCAGACGAATCGCTTATCTTATTGACAATTCTATTATGTAAATAAAATGAATCTAATTACATTTAGACATGGAATCAACTCAACTTGAATATTCTTCGTTACTTAATCTGTGGGCTCAATAAATATTGATATCAATAAATATGGGAGCCATAAAGTATATCGCATAATTATTGTAAATAAAAAATAACGTCCATGAAGTATTGCATGTTTTGCCTATGATTGCATGTCAATAATTATAGAACTTCATAGTTCATAGACGTGCTTATGTTGGTGAGGCGTACTCATAAGATTACACGCCTAAAGAAATGTTCACTTCCAAAATCGCAAGAGTATTATCTCAGTTTAAAAAGGGTGTATTTACTTTTTACGCCGCCTTGCGCACATATGCTAGGGGTTGTCACGAAATTGGGAATAATTTTGCATGTTATCTTATATTTTACACTGTGTACATACAAGTTAAAAACATTTATTGAACAAGATCATTTTTTATTACTACAAGGATATTTTCGTGACACTTTATTTTTATAGATGTTTTCAGTTTTCGTTTGTTAAATTTGATTATGGTATATTATGAAAAAAAAATGAGGGAAGAACATAAGCATGGTCGTCATTTAAATTCAACTTTATTTTAGTAACTCTAATAACAGTAATTCATCATTATAGATATTATATTTTTCGAAAACGGCACTTAAAATTTGTTAAATATAAGTAGTTTAAAACACGATAGCGTCAACCGCACGTTATTGTACAGCTGACTTAGGTGCGTTTCCACTGACGCGGAGATGGGCAGAGTGGAGCGGAGAAGAGCAGTGAAAAGTGGCAAGTGTTTGCACTGAAGCGTGGAGCTGAGTGGAGTGGAGTGGACGAATATTTTGACACTTTCAATTAGCTTCTTTTCCATTTTGATTCACATACAATGTCGATGACGTGTGAAGTTTATGACGTAATATCACTAACTAAACTAAAATGCAGTGTCGTGTCCTGACAAGTCTCCCATACCCGAAGCGCCGCACCGTCCCGCTACCCCCTCCGCTTCGTGTCCTCTGTTCGACACTACAGCCTGCTCGCCTCTGTTCTGTCCGGCTCGGGGCCGCATGTTGGTATATTTTATTTGAAAGTCCAAAGTTCCACTTACACTGTTTCCACTGATGCGGAGTGGAGAATCCGAGAACTATGATTGGCCAATTTACGGTCCGCTAATATCCACTCGGCTCAGCTCCGCGTCAGTGGAAACACACCATTAGTGGAGTGTGCCCAAACACCGCGCCGCCCACTGCTCCGTAAGACGCCCATTACACGGTAGGTTTTGCTGTCAGTTTTACAACAATCACGGTTGTGATTGACGAATAACCTATCGTGTAATGCGGTGATTGACGGTTGCATGAAATTGATTGACAAATATCTGGATATTTTGATTTTTATGTCAATCAACTATCAGTCACGAATTTTGATTGAACGTGTAATGGCATTTCGTCAACCACGCGTCAGTCAACGCTTACACAGCAATGGAGGCGGACGCAGAATATATTGAAAAGGCTGCTAATACGCGCTCGCGCAGCCCGTCGCCACTCCCAACAAATGTGTTTCAGCCAGAAAAAGATTTTATTTTAAATTTTCAGTCTCTCCCCGAGTTGTGGGACACGGAAAACCCCGGGTAGGTAGGATGCCCCTAATACCAGCCACGCCCCTAATTCCAGCCTTTCCGCCTTTTTACTTCGTAAATAAGATTTCTAGTAGTCTTAACTACAAATATGGTCGGCTAAAAATTCTTTGTAATCAGAGGAAAGTATATTTCAAATATTACCTCACAGTTTTAAACCTAACAGTGTTAAATTAAAAATCAAAACAAAAGCATATTTTACATTAGCTCATCTTTAGGCTTTTTGATTTGTATGAATGTGACTATAGACATAGTAATGCAGCTATTTTTGTTTAAATTTATAAGTTTTTTATTTTCTTTTAGTGGAAATTAATGGGGCTGTAATTAGATATACGAAATTTATGGAGTGCATAATGTCAGTCGCCCGACTGTTATTTGGTTTGACGTAAATAATAAGAAGTACCTTATTTCAACCACGTGATATAAATCAGGGCTGTCATAAACTAGAATAAATACCATTAATTGAACTCACAGAGAAAACCAACGTAGAATAGCAGTTTAACGCTGCTGTGTTTCGTATGGTGAGTGTAGAGAACCGGAGATCCTTTTTACTGGAAAAGAGGCATTCCATCTTAGTCCTCACGGGTGACAACGCATCTGCATCTTGAGTCTATATTGAGGATAGATGTAGATGTCTATGGGTCATAGTAGCCACTTACCATCAGGTGGACTGTGTGCTCGTTTGTCACCCTATCCTATATAAAAAAACATAACTTATTTTATAGTTAAGTAAGTTATGGTCAATTCGTCTATATTTTGAAATTGGTGTTTGATTTAAAAGTTTAACAAATGATACGTACTTGCTTTTCAGACATTTGGTATATGTTAAGAACACCATACAATATTTAATTATTTTTTGGGAAAGACAAAAACAAACAATAAATGTAATTAACTACAACTTAAGTTAGTTCGTAATACTAATTTTATAATAACTTAAGAACATAAATGAAAAAGTCATAAAAAGGAAAGTGGTTCAGGACCATGCTTTGCGGCAGTCTATGGAGGATGATGTTCTGTAGTCGACTTGTGAAGGGCTGAAATGATGATAAAGATTCAAAAACTTGGATGGTTAAATTATAAGAAATCGATGTACTATAATACATAATTTTTATTATAATATTATTTTAATTAATTGTTTAGTGTTAAAAGATAAAATGTAACTGCTTAAAGCTAAACCACAGTAAGGTAAGAAGTAGAACATTAAAATAAAATAATTGTTGTCGTCTATCTTAATACATAATCCATACTTGTGACTTGCATGATTTAAAATTAAAAGTTGTTATGAATTTATTTCAGTGCCCCTAAAATTTACCTACAATAGGTATCTACCAAAAACTCAAAAGGCATAGACCTATACTATGCTGACATTAGATACACAAAAGGAAATTGAAATTGGCACTAAAAGGCTGGTAATAGAGGCATCCACCCTATACGAATAAATGTAAAAGTTAAGCTTATTTTTCGTCCATAAATGCGTTTCAAATAAAGCCGCGTATCGATTATGCACTCCAAGAGGTCTAACATTTGCGCGCGTTAAATTAAAATGGGTAAAATTATATTAAATATTACAATATTTCCTATTCGTTTTTTTTTCTTTTTCTTTTCAATATATAAAATTATAATTAAATGGTGAATCGAAAATGAAGTTAGTTTATAGGTACGTCCTTCCACTCCGAAAATTTGGGTTTGACTGACGATCAGTCAGCATAAGCGTGTAATGTCCAAATTATTCCATCATTCAAACCTCAGTCATGATTGATCGAACTGATTGACGCTTGCCTAGGCGTGTAATGGGCGTCTAAGGCTACCGTCGTTGCTTTGCACAAGTACAATAGTTTGAGAACTGTATGCTCTAAATTGTGGTATTATATTTGCCTTGTCCACCATGCAGAAGCTGCCGGTGAGCCGCGCGGTGGAGGCGGCGCTGTGCGCGGGCGGCGGCGGCGAGGGCGCGGAGCTGGCGTGGCTGGACCCGCGCGCCGCGCGCACCGACGCGGCCGCGCGCGCCCGCGCCGCCCGCCACCCGCCCCCCTCCGACGCCGTCGTCTTCGTCGTCGGCGGCGGCAACTACATCGAGTACCACAATTTACTCGACTTCGCTAAGGTGAGTCGACCGCTGTACTGAGAAACACAAGCGGTAAAATTAAACATTTTGTACAACCAACTTCAATATAAATAAAATGAGAACATCATCAATGTAGTCGAAGTCAATTAAATACGCATTTAAGGATAACTCAAAAACTGCTGGTCAGATTTGATATGTGGAACCACATGAGAAGCACCAGCTTTTGAATAAAAAAAATAATCACCAAAATCGGTTCACCAAGAAAAATTTTCTGAGGTAACACTTAAAAATATACAGTCGAATTGGGAACCTCCTCCTTTTTTTGAAGTCGGTTGAGGTTTATTCGCGAACAGAGGAGAAAGGGCTACCCGACGGTGCAACCGCTAATATAGTGTTATTATTGCCCTCGTTTACATGGATATTTTTGGCGGTGCATACAATGCGAAGTGTAGGCCGTCCCCCCACTAGAGGGAGTGACGACCTGGTAAGATATGCAGGAATTCGATGGATGCAGGTAGCTGAGGACCGTGTTTTGTGGCATTCCTTGGGGAAGGCCTACGTTCAGCAGTGGACTTGTGAGGGACTGTAATGATGATAATGATGATGATGATACAATACATTTATTAACCTACACTACATTATAAGAACAAGGGTCAGCACCTACTAAACGCAACTACATGGAAGCATTTCTGGCTTCAAAAAATGACACAACGCAAATTGAACTGCGGTTGACGTGGCTTACCATTTGCGCTGCGAACGAACTCAGTTCGAATACCGTCATATCGTCGAATATCATAATATAATTTGCATGTCACCTTGATACTAAAACAACCCTAGTGACGAGTGGCGAGCACAATGGCGTCATATAATAAATAGTATATGGTAATTAAAACCACAAAACTATCGAGAAATAAGATCAATTTTTGACTGAGCGTCTAATGTCGTAATAAAATTTTATAACCTTTAGTAGTTATAATATAATTAGCGTTGGAATATGCGAGTTTGTTTGAAATAAAGTAATACTTCCATGTTTTGTTTGCGTTCACTAGTCAACACCGGACCAATACCGCTTCCAACTTTCAATGCGGTAGAAATTGGTAACTAGTCAAAATTACAAAAGCCATACTAGCCGCTTATTTTTAGTGAATAGCCAAATATTTGCTATTATATCAATGACTCTTTGCTAAGTCACCAGTTAGTTTGAGTAACAGTGCAGTCGTGTTTGAGTGCTGATGCAAGCACGACTCGCCTATTACCGAGTTTGAATCTAATATACCTACTTTATGAAATGAGGTCCAGTACATATTATTTGAAAAAATAATGAAGAAACATTAAAAACTACTTGTTAATTACGCCGTGTATAAATTACGTAATGCTTATGGAAATATTTCACAGATGTCACGCTACATCGATAAACATCGATTACTGACGCAATTGCCATACAATTATTACTTTAATTTTTAAGGGTTTAAGTTTAAAATCGTGTATATGACATTTCTCTTGTACAGCAAATGAAACAAACTTAATTTTGTCCGAATATGTTCAGTTACTGCCGAAACTTAAGTTAGATATTCGTAGCGAAGATCAATTAAAAGCAGCGGTTGATGAACATATTTTAGAACCAACAAAAATTTTTAAACGTGGATCTTATTCTAACCTTATAGCTGTTCAGCCGCTTTTCATTTGTTGCATCTTTCTATAGCAAACATTAGTAAATTGCTTTATTTTTTTTTATATTAGAAGGGGCAAAGGAGAATGCGGCTCACCTGATGGTAAGTTACTACCGCCGCCCATGAACAACTGCAACACCAATGAAATTGCAAATGCGTTGCCGGCCTTTTACAAATTGTAAAATTTAAATTTTGTACAACCTACTTCAATATAAATAAAATGAGAACATCATCAATATAGTCGAAGTCAATTAAATACGCATTATTAAGAATAACTCAAAAACTACTGACCAGACAGAAACAGAAGACAGAATTAGATTATGGCCCCACATGAGAAGCCCCAGGTTTCAAATAAAAATATAAACATCAAAATCGGTTCACCTAAAAAAAAGTTCTGAGGTAACACGAATTGAGTACCTCCTTCTTTTTTTTTGAATTCGGTTAAAAGAAGAGTAGGCTCTTCTTTTTTTTAATAGGCATATTAAAATTTATCCTTCCTTTATATAACCTTTGGTTAAGACGTTATTACCGAATATCGATTTGAAGGTACGTATTGTTCTTTTTCAGCAACAAGCAACAAGCGGCGTTTCAAGGAAGTTAATCTATGGTGCTACGACGCTGCCCAATGCTTCACAATTCTTGAAACAACTTTCGCTCCTTGGCGAGGAGATTCAATGAACATTCCCATCGGGTCAGATATCTGTAATTGTACTATAAATTAATTAATATATGTATCTATTATGTTCAATCCGTATTATTATTTTTATTCCTAAAATAAGGTTTTACTCCGCTTCCACACAAGAACGATTCACCAGATGTGGTGGTGGTGGATCTCTTTACGACAAAACGCAAATGTTTCTCTACTATCCTTACATGAAATTTGTCAGGAATATTTTAACTGTTACAAGCCAGTGCTTGACTACTATCTCACCTGATCACCATCTGGCACCAGCCCATATATGGCAGCAATAATCCATGCCTCCCGACTGGACTTACGCTTTGTAGAGTAAGCAGCTATCCCGACTATTTTAGGCCTAGACTCAACGACTCCATCAAGTAGTATAATGAAATACACAGACAAAGAGACGACAGGGAAAATGACAGGAGATGGGTAGCAGTATCTTCGTGAACAATCTCCTTGCATTTTTGCTATAGAATTTATCAAAAGATGTAGGACTTCATGTAAATGACTTTATGGATGGATATGGATTAATTCCAGCCACTAAGTTTCCACCATTTCACATTTTTTTATAGGATAGGGTGACAAACGAGCACACAGTCCACCTGATGGTAAGTGGTGGCTGTGACCCATAGACATCCACATCTATCCTCAATAAAGGATCAAAATGCAGATGCGTTGTCACCCATGAGGCCTAAGATGGAATGCCTCTTTTCCAGTAAAAAGGGTCTCCGGTTCTCTATATTCACCATACGAAAAACAGCAGTGTTAAGCTGCTATTTTACGCCGGTATTCTGTGAGAGCGTGGTCCTTATTCCGGTCGAGTAGACCCATTCGTGCTACAACTATACTACTAATATAACTGCAGCATGGCTCTACCACGTAAAATAACATCGTCATATAACTCTTTATAACATCCACGCAAGCATCCATATGGAATGCTTAGTTGTCCACCACCGTGTGATTTTCCCGAAGTTTTCTTCATCGCACGACTACTTTATGGAATCAGCTTCTTCACCCCGTCTTCTATAAAAAAATACAAGATGCACTTCTGTGGCTGTACAAAACTGTTATTCGGCCCATGATCACATACGGCGCTCTGGTATGGCGGACCAAAACAAATGAAGCCACCACTATAAAGAAGCTTCAACGTTGCCAGAGACTAGCATGTATGGCTACCACAGGCTTCATAAGTACTACACCAACAGCAGCCTTAGACTATGGTGGAGCTAACCCCGCTTCACCTACACATACAACAAGAAGCGACTTTAGCTGCCATTAGACTTAAGACCTTAAATCTTTGAAGTAGAGTTCCTCATACAGTTATAATTGATAGAATTTACTCAAACATTCCTATCTTACAAGCCAAGCACGATAAGATCCCCAATTTGTGTTCAATAAGAAGTATAAGATACAATTAAATAAAACCAACCGGCCGGAGAGATTAAGCCCAAAAGAGCTTAAGAGTTTTCACGAATGGTTCTAAATCAAATGAAGGTGTAGAATCTGGAACTTTATCTGAAGACCTCAATATCCACATATGTACCCCGCTGGGTACCCACAACACAGACTTTCAGGCGGAATGTATCATCCAAGCGGCCATAGCAATAGATGGAAGGTAAAAGACTTCTCCATCAGAATACTGACCGACAGTATGGCGGTACTACAAGCTCTGAGTTGCAACGTGGTGAACTCGGAACTAATATGTGAATGCCATCAACGATTAAATGAGGTATGTAAACACAACAATGTGTCTCTGCAATGGATAAAGGCACACAGTGGATCCAGGGGCAACGATGCAGCAGATGAACTGGCCAGAATGCGATCCGCTCTGGCCACTATAGGGTCTTAACCAATAATACCAATCCTCTTTGGTAACGTTCGTTGACTGGTACGTAGAAACTTCACTTCAGATAAACTGCGTAAGCAGTTTTGCGGGACTATGTATATTAAAAACCAAACTTTGTACTTTTAATAATAAATAAATAATTTAAAAAAAAAACACGCTCAGCTTTGGAAAAATCTAGGTGTTACAGATAGTCCCCTGCGCAGGGCATGTATGGGGGAGGAATAAACGGCAGACCACATGTTACTGACATCACCGGAGGTCGCTGCATACAGTGGTAAACATCGCGGCACGCCGATTTCACTACCCGAAGTTGCTCGCAACATCAATGGACTGTTGAACTTCTTCGGGGAGATTTCATGGCTCAAATAATTACATTATTCCTGCCCACACACAAAATATGCGCTTAGATGTGGAGTTGCGGAAAACAGCCCGTCGTAAACTATACAAGATGCACACTTTTTTTTATAACAGAAACCGTCACGAAGATATCAGTAGCGGAATCAAAGTAAACAACATAAGTTAATATGTCAATAAGCTGGTATAACCGACTGAAAAGTAGAGACAAAATAGAGGACAATACTCGGAGTTTCTCTGCGTTATCAGGTCGATAACGAGGATTCAGTAAAACATTGATAGCTTATAACCCAAGGGATCAGTAAGCTGATATGACAATAGACAAACAATAATAAAAGAAATTGTTTTTAAGAAGGAACCTCATACTATTTAGTCATTGTTGGGTGTTGTTATTTTTAACCAAACATAATACATACATAAACTCTCACGCCTGTCACCCAGAGAGGTGAGCTGCTACTACTACTACTACGTACTTCCATTTGGCACGATCCTGACACGCCTCTATCACATCCATATATCTAAACATACATGATTGTTGGTTAAGGGTGCTCTGAATTTGTCTTTATCTTCAATATATCGCTAATTCGTCCCTTGCCGATTCTGCCACTCACTCCTGCAGCATAAATTTGCTTTGTCAATCTTTCCTCATTCAAATCACCGAAGCATGCATTCCTTTTTTAATTCTGGTCCCAACATCTTGCAAATCACACTTTTCTCTTAGCACACAATGTCCTCTCTCTATGTCCTTATTTATACAGCAATAATTTTACTCTCATGTTTCTTCCACAACAACCAACTTTCTCTACCTATTATTACTACTATTCTATTAATATTATATAAATACTATTCTATTAATGTAGAGACTAACACAGCTTTGTGAATACGTGCTTTTTTTAACACATTCTGACTTCCCACAATACAACGTTCTGCCCCATTCACTCTGTGTTCTGCATTCATTCACTCTTCGTTCTATATCATTGTCATGGCCACCATCTCTGCTACACATTCTAAATACACGAACTCATCCAATGGGGCAAACAACTCCTCTTCCATTCTTATTTCACATTAGCAACTCTAGATGAATTATTAATCGATTTCTTGTGGTTATTTTTGTGTCTGTGATTGAATTAAATCTAAGTTCGTACTTAACAAGTTGTTTTTACTCTTTGCTATTATCATCCAGAGAACATTTTAAATAATTACTTTCCATTCATTGAATATACGTGTTATCATATATATCGTTTTACTTTCGAGAAGAAAGCGATGGTTATCAAAAACCATCGCTTTCTTCTCTTTTACTTTCACTTACCTTTCCCTTTCTTATAATAATACGTTCATCAATGTAATAATCACTAAACACAAACACTAGTATGACTTGATCGTTGGCGTACAAGAGGCATTTGACAACTAACTAATCCATTTCCAAGCCTCATTGTTCGACTTACAAAGATTCCAAACAACTGTCTTTAAACAAATTGAAGAGCCACCGGAAAGCTACCCCACCCTGTCTGGTATCTTTATGGATGCCAAACCAGCCCGTGTAGTCCCCGTTGATCATAACACAAGCTCTAAAACCTCTAAAAAGATTTTAATGCCTGTATCAGCCCAGCACTCAGCCCAAATGTGGCCAGCGTTTGCCAAAAAGCAACCCTGACAACTTGGCCAAAAACTTCCCTATGATCATACGCATAGAAAAGACCTGAACCGCACCCCAAATTTTACTTTCATAACTCATTTAAAAGAACACCTTAGCACACAGTTTTCCGACAATGCTAATCAGACTGATTCGCTAGTAGCTTTATAAATATTCAGCGTAAATTAAAGAAAGTATACAGTAAGCTTGCCCCCGATCCTTATCCAGTCCTCATCAATTATAATGATACTTTATTGGATATGATACCCTTGACGTACCCTTTGAACCCCGATGAAGTACCCTTGCCACACCTGCTTTTCATTGCTTTCACTACGTCAATCAAACTTATTTTGCTACCTCCTTCGTTTTATTTTGGAGTTTCTGGTTGACTTACTTCCGATGTCTTCTCACATTTAAACACGCGTTCAAAGTATTGCTTGCATCTCTTTTAAGCTTAAAACTTCGTCATTTAAAACACATCCATTCTCGTTTTGCACAGCATTTATTCTAGACTTCTGAATTTTCCCTGGCAGTTCTGACGAGTTTCCAGAACATTTTGATATTTACCTGAAAATTATCAGACAGTCTGCACCTGTTATGTAATAATAGTTAGATATACAATTTGTAATATACGATTATTAGTAATTAACGCAAGAACCGCTAGAGTGCTTGACAGATCTTGGTTTACAGTTTAAATTTGGCGATTTATTTGCTTATACCGCAATCACACGATTTATTTTAAATCAAAGTAATTAATATTTAATTTTCAACTGTTGTGCATAAAGAAAGTACAAAAATAATGACAAAAAAAAAGTAAAAAAAGTATTTTTCAGTATAGTGAAAGGGTTATTGAAATAAAACAGAACTGTCAACAAGTTGGCATTTTATTTACAATGACATTGAAAATAGAGCTAACATCTAATATCTACCAATAAATTTTGATTGTTTAGAACAAGAAGTATAAAATCTAAATCACAAGATTATTATTCCAGTAACAATCAGATCTTAAAACCCATTTAGCATTATGCACGTATAAAGTTCCCGTCACGTTACTAAAGATATTACATTCAAAAACCAATTCACAACCAAACATACATATAGAGATAGTGAAAGAAAATATTTAGATATCAACAAAAATCATACAAATATATATATCGTCACTT